TTTCTCACCCATCCTCTCTTTGATGTTGGCAAAAAAAATCATGAAGTTTGACCTTGGTTTGACCACAGTTGACCTCAGTTTGACCTTTTAACTGCATTGACTGCTTTTGACTTATCTGATCATCTGACTGAGCAAACTTTTGAGAAAAGTCTTGAAACTTGACATGGGGGTTCTTATACACATATAAGATGTTATGAAGCTCACTTGAAGTCTTGGAAGTCCATTTAGCCTGATTAAAGTCAAAACCCTAGTTTTGGATGCACTGCTTAGGAGGTGCATTGTCTGAGGGAATTGTCAACTCTTCTGACCAATTATGAATTTTGCGAACCTTGTGAACCTTCTTGGAACACAAAGTCTTGTATTGTGAGGGCAAATTTTGGGGTGCAACACCTGCCCGCCCCATCTCCACTATCTGATGACAGCGAGGATGGACATCCTGAGTATGGTCCAACTGAGACTGTTACTCCTCTAAGATCTCCCGGTGAGTTGGTATGAGCGGCGATCCTTCGGCAGTGGGCATCATGTAAGGGTGTGAGACGATGAAAAACCATATGATGTAGCCATAAATGCAGCTCCAGTCTGTCGGCGCTTTGGTCGCTCGAGCTTCGTTAGGTACCATGTGTCTCTGGTAGTTAGCATAGATCTCCTTTATTTACATATGGGTCAAGCCGAGAGGAGCGGAGATAGCTCGGTGTCTGGCAATGGTCTGAGTGTAGCCGAACTGCATGCCAACCATCCTGAGAATAGGGAGATATCGTCAAATGAGCGCGTCACACGATGATCCGTATAGATGTTGTACCAGATGTTCTCAGCAGTCAGGCGATCGAGATATACTGTGTAAGGGTTAACCGCTTGGTTCCCCTTGAGCGGGTGAAAGGAACGGGCACGCGACATCAGCTCTGTGTAATCACACATACTTCTCCACCCGGCGATCATGGGAAAATGCTGGAATATCCAAGTCTGAAATGAAATAAAAAATATCAGGATCAAGCATTATCACGAATATAGAATGAAAAGAAATGAAAAAAAGTAGAAGGATATAAGATTGTTACCACAAGTAGTGTCACGCTTTCTGCGACAATCATGGTCTTCCATAGGCATCCCTCTCTCAACCTCAAATACGTGTAAGGTTGGGTAGCCCTCCCCCCAATTGTACTCATCGATCCGTGTGGAATCCAAAAAGTACCTCATGTAAGCGACATCCGTATATGTGGAGGAAGTGTCCACAAACAATTGAGTGACGACTAAAAACAGAAAATAGCATCTCAACACACGCTTCTTGTGTATCTCAATCTCAGCTGGATCACCATCTACCTGGCATACAGCAGCGAATGCCTCACCAAATCTATGCATGAGAAAGGAGAACCTCACACGAGTCCCTCTAGTTTTATCCACCTCCTCAAGCGCATCTAGTGGATTAGCCACAAGCTCTTCGACCAACATCTCTCTAGCATCCTCTTTCGTAATCCTACCATGATGGAGAAGGGTACCCCTAATCGGTATATGTAACAGACAGGAGATTTCGTCCAATGTGATCGTGAGCTCGTCGTGCGATAGATGGAAGGAGGACATTTTATGGTGTCATATCTCTGCAAATCCTATCAACATCCCGTTGTGGATAAGGTTGTAAACGATCTCACAAAGGTCCTTCAAACTAGAGGCGGAAAGGACATCCTGGAACCAAGCCTCCTGTGGCTGCTCCAAAGATAATATCTTTCGCCCGTGGTTATAGAACTTCTGCGGCTGACGAGTCTGAAAATTTTCATAAATAAGAAACAATGTTAATAAGAAACAATGGTACAAATTATAAATTTCCAATGAAAAAAAGAAACAATCTGAGTAATGTTACCTTTCCATTCCAGACATGTCTGGTAGTATGGTCAGCGTACCTTGTAAGCAAAGACATATCAAAGGGACCCCCTAGGAAACCCTCAGGCTCATCATCTTCGTCGTCACCAACATCATCTGGTGGTAGGTCATCACCCTCTGGAGGTGACACCAAATCATCGGCAGAAGGAGAACCAGAAGTATCCCAACAAGGCCTGCGGGAGAACGGGGTCTGTGATGAACCCTTAGTTGAATCCCGATGCCTCCGGGATGAAAAAGTGGATGATGGGGTGAGATACGAGGTCGAGGGAATGTCCTAGGCATGTGGTGAAGAAAGATGTGCCTCAATTGTATCGGTCTCGGTAACGGTGGTTTGGCTCCGTTCGCGTCTCACAAATGCATGTTGTGAAACCCGTCCAAGTCGCAATCTATCTTCTCTGTCTGCCATAATGTCTGCAAGGTATAATCAAGAAAAAACAATTAGATACAAATAAACTAAAAAACAAAAAAGAAAAAAACTAACATTCTTTTACTTTCAGATGTAAACATACGGAAAACTTTCGTATATGTATATACGGAAGAACCCAGAATTCAGAAAGTTTGATTTGTTCCGGAGCTGCATCTACGGAATTGCCCTAATGTTAATTTGTTCCGTGGATGTAACTCCAGAACTTCCTGCAACTCTAACAGCCACGACAATGACGTCCCTAACCCATGAAAATTGATTTTTTGAAGCTCTTGTTATCCGTTTCAGCCAACAAACAATACCTACATTGTCTCTAAACTATATTTCTAAAACTATCTAACAATTTCTATCTCTAAAACTATATTCTAACTCGTTTATGGAACATACCCCGGGAAACTCGAAAACTTACCGTTTACATCGAGTTTTAAATGATTTGGAGTGTATTGATCGTTGAGATGAATGCTCTTTGTCGAATATGATTGAAAACAATTAAGTTTGGTTGTAAAAGTTTTTTTTTATTAGGATTGAGAAAGTTTGGAGAGTTTGAGAGTGAAGAAGTTGAAAAATGGAGAACAAGGGAGGAGAAGAGACTCTGACGCAAATGTATTCTAATTTGTTTCGAAACTATATAAACAGAAATATTCTGAAGATGTAACTCTGGATAAAACCAACATTAAATACAAAAAAATGCATTCGGATATACATCATCAAAAATTGAAAATATTTTTTGAAGTGCACATGGTGTCTAAGAACCTGAAAGAGTGTGATAAGAAATTCGGAAATTTTACCCCATACCCCTACAATTATACTCATACCCCTACACTAAATTTTTTTGGACCAAAATACCCTCGTATAAAAAGTTATAATTTTTTTTTACCGGAAGACTTTTGGTTCACATTTTTTTTCGTTTGTTTACCGGAAGACTTTTTAGAAGTCTTCCGGTTCATATTTTTTTTGGACTTTTTGAAAGTCTTCCGGTTCATGTTTTTTTTTTAATTTTTTTTAATATTCAAATTACAAATATATTTATTCTATTTACTTTATTTATTCTATTTACTCTATTTTAGTTAATTAATATATTTATTCTATTTACTCTATTTATTCTGTAATTTGTTATATTTATTCTATTTATTTATTTAATAATAATTATTTTATTAATTTGATTTTTTTTATTAATTTACTATATTTATTTACTTAATAATAATTATTCTACTAATTTGGTATTGTTTTTTTTAATCAATAAAAATAAAAGTTGTTAATTAATTTATATATTGATTGTGTTCTTTAAAGAAAGAAAAATAAAAAATAAAAGTTGTTAATTAATTTTATATGTCACAATTAATAGTTCAAATTATGTGTTTCAAATGTATTTTAGCCTTCATAAATTTATCATTGAAGTAACACATTTTTTCTTCAGACATATCACATGATTTTGTCCTTTTAATAAATAAAATATATTGAGTATTTCTATGACAAGGTAAAATAAAGAAATATTTCTTTTGAAAAACTTATAACAACAAAAATATAAGAAGTAATATTTAATAACTTAAATTTTAAAAATATTAGAAGAATATATATATATATATATATATATATATATATATATATATATATATATATATATATATATATATATATATATATATATATATATATATATATATATATATATATATATATATATATATATATATATATATATATATATATATATATATATATATATATAAAATTAAATAAATTAAATAAATGGGTCTTCTAATTAAATTTATAAATACAATACAAAAATATTTTTTCCTAACTTATATTCATAACTTTGAAATTCCCATCATCCTTCATTTATCTTATATCAAGTTATGCCTTTTCTTTTTAGTTTTTAATTTTCAATCTCTTTATTGACACCTACATTAAAAAAAATCATTCAAATAAGTGAAAATATAGATATGACTTACAAAATTATTTAATAAAAGTTGTTAACTAATTTATATATTGATAAGAGAAAATAATTTAGTTAATAAAATTAGTATTGTTATCAACTTAGTTGAGAGAATTAGTATTGTTTTATTTTTCTTTCTTTTAAAATTTAATTTTTTTTCTTTAAAAAACATAATCAATATATAAATTAGTTAATAATTTTTATTTTTATTGATTAAAAAAAACAATCCTAAATTAATGGAGTAATTATTATTAAGTAAATAAATATAGTAAATTAATAAAAAATCAAATTAATAAAATAATTATTATTAAATAAATAAATAGAATAAATATAACAAATTCATAATAAATAGAGTAAATAGAATAAATATATTAATTAACTAAAATAAAGTAAATAAAATAAATATATTTGTAATTTAAATATTAAAAAAATTAAAAATTAAAAAAAAAACATGAACCGGAAGACTTTCAAAAAGTCTTCCGGTAAACAAACCAAAAAAAATATGAACAACATGAATCGGAAGACTTCTAAAAAGTCTTCCGATATAACTTTTTATACGAGGTATTTTGGTCCAAAAATTTTTAGGATAGGGGTATGAGTATAATTGGGGGTATGAGATAAAATTTCCAAGAAATTTTCTATTAAAGACAATGTATAGGCCCATATGGCGAATGGGGTTAGTTGGGGTTGGTACGTGTCTTCACTTCGCTCGTGCCACTCTCTCTCAATCTATCTTCCCACGCGATCTGTGATTGTCACGAAACAACAGGGATGATGTATTCGCGGTTTAGAACCGTCGCCGGAAATCTCAATTGCACCGCGAAACGTTTCTCTTCATCTTCCACCACCACCACAACTACCTCAGCCCCGTCTGAATTACAGCAGAATCTAGCAAGGCTGCGGGCTCGGCTGGCAACGGAGTCGCCGTCTCTGTCGGACTTCATTTCCTTGAAATCGGACAACGCCTACTCTGTTGAGGTCGGGACAAAGAAGAAACCTCTTCCGAAACCGAAATGGATGAAGGAATCAATTCCCGGCGGTGAGAAGTATGTGCAGATTAAGAAAAAGCTCCGTGAATTGAAGCTTCATACGGTTTGTGAAGAGGCAAAGTGCCCTAATTTAGGAGAGTGTTGGTCAGGTGGTGAAACCGGCACTGCCACCGCTACTATCATGATTCTTGGAGATACTTGTACTCGAGGTTGCAGGTTATACACCAATCATCTTTTTCCATTTCTGTGTGTGGATTTTTTAACTTTTGTTTAGTAGTATTCTCTGTTAATTAGGCTCTATTGGAATGAAACACTATGGAGTGAAGCGGATTGAAATAGAGATTACTTTGTGTATTTTTTATAATTTGACTGAATGAAACATAATAAATTAGTTGATTACATTGCATACACCCCAAATTAGGAGGAATGAAAATTGAAGAATATGATGGAATAGGATGTAATTGATTCCATCATGTTTCATTTCGTTCGGTCTATTATTTGCAAATCCAAATAATGGAATTTGATTATGTACCATTCAATTCCATCATATACCACCAATTGTAACATACCCTTAAGGAAACTAGTCTACACAATTTGGTTGTGACTCTAGTTCTATTGATAAATTAAATTGTGAAGCACATGAAGTAGCCATGAGAAAATGAAAGTGCTTGAATTAAGCCAAATGTATCAGCGTATAGTCAAACACCACCATCAAAGTCAAACACCGACTTGACACACTAGACATGCCTCAAATTTGAAATGTTTGTGCTACATTAAATAGGTTTGAATTGACTCCGGAGTGAAACTATGAAAATGACATCTAGTATGGACATGTAAAAAATGCAGAAATAGTTATAAGCAAATTGTGTTATTTTGTTTTTGACTGGCTTGTTGTAGTGAGACGATGCCAGTTCAAAAGTTTGCGACGATGAGTTAAATTGGATGGCTCCATTTTTCACATAGTTTTTAAGCATGTTAGTAGATATGATCAAATTCTCATTTTTGTTGCGTGTTTAAACAGATTTATTTTGTATAGAAGCTGATCCTGGATAGAACATTATGATGAAAGTTGATCCATGTAGTCGACCCACTTTGTGGGATACGGCTTGGTTGTTGTTTGTTGTTTGTTTAAATGAAATTATTCCTAGGTATAAATGATTCTCAGGAAAATATAACTTGCATATTCCACTGAAAATATATGCGAGGAGTGTGTAAAGAAAATAGATTCTCATGAAATTATATACTTCATACTTAATTCGTATGAGTACCGTATTCTTGGAAATGTTGTAAAGGTTTGCATTTTTTATAAAAATATGGTCCCATCATTATATTCACACTCGAATGAATGTTATTATCTGGAATGGATTTACATGACTTGAAAGGGGAAGTCTGTGTAATTACTCCTTTACCCATTGAAGTTTGTGAAATATTCATTTACTAGAACACTTCAATATAATGGGTTTATGTTATTTTTCAGATTTTGCAATGTTAAGACATCAAGGACTCCTCCACCACCTGACTCTGATGAGCCCACCAATGTGGCTGAGGCAATTGCATCGTGGGGTTTGGATTATGTGGTTATAACAAGTGTTGATCGTGATGATTTGCCTGATCAAGGGAGTGGTCATTTTACTGAAACAGTGCAAAAGCTGAAGGCACTGAAACCTAGCACGCTTATAGAAGCCTTAGGTATACATTTTGAATATTTGTATTTCCTGAAAATAGACTAACGTGGTAGTTTGTGAAAACGTGCTCTATCTAATAGTAAACAACGATCAAGCCTTATTTTGCTAGGTAGGCAGAGTCATATTAAAATAAGTGAGCATATGTATGGTTTTCAATTAGAGCTAGTGAAGCATGAATGTGAAAGAAAAGACTATCTTTTGTGAGTTAATTTTTCAACTAGAGCTATTTGATAGATGGGAGAATTAGGTGGTGCCCTAAAACGTAAATTCCGTATGCAGTTTCTGTTGACGAGTTTCTCATCAGTGTTGTAAAATATTGGCCATGGCGAGTATTGGTGGTGGTTTTTTGGCTTGCCGCCATGGCCAAATTTGTAAGGAATGGCAGCACCATGAGGCCACACACGGACATGGCGGCGCCATGTCTCGAATTTTTGGCTCTCTGCCATGGCCTGCCTGCCATCTGCCATCAATAACATTGTTTCTCATACATTCGTGTTTATTTTTGAACTGGTACTGTTTATTAGTATGACTTTTAACTAGAATTAAAGAAGAAATCATGTTTATTGGGATTTCAGCATAGGGAATAAATCTGAAAATTTGGTTTGTTTTCTACAGTACATATTTTGTTGAGTTGAGTGGTGGCAACTATATCATTAAGGGGACTTATAATTTATCCATGTGATGATTGTTGCACTGATTTTCTTGCAACAGTTCCCGATTTTCGAGGAAATGCTGAATGTGTAGAGAAGGTTTCCAAATCAGGACTAGATGTCTTTGCGCATAATATCGAGACAGTTGAAGAGCTTCAGAGTGCTGTGAGGGATCACCGGGCTAATTTTAAGCAGTCTTTGGATGTTCTGATGATGGCCAAAGAGTATGCCCCTGCTGGGACACTCACCAAGACTTCAATAATGTTAGGTTGTGGGGAAACACCTGACCAGATTGTGAAGACAATGGAGAAGGTGAGAGCAGCTGGTGTTGATGTGATGACATTTGGTCAGTATATGAGACCCTCAAAGCGCCATATGCCAGTATCAGAATATATTACCCCAGAGGCATTTGAGAAGTATCAGACTCTTGGCATGGAAATGGTATGTCTATAGCATTTATTCTTGTGACTCTGCTTATCTGTACTTTATTTGTTTGTACATGAAAAGAATGTATTTTGCTGGACGAGAAATAATTGCTATCAGCATCCAAATCGCGATCATAACTTTGCTGGTGTTCTCGTAATCGTAATTTCAGTCAGCATTTACTAAAATCTTTTGGTGGTGGTTTGTTATATTTTCTGCGGTGAGTAGATATTTGGTGCACAGTATAGGACATATAACATTTGGGCTCCTTGTCGTTTAGAATTTTATATATGTTCCTCAAAAGTTGATGCAAATTAAGTCGTTTTCGGCGTCGTTCTTGCATATTCGGTGGGTGTAAAATAATATGCCTTGCTAATCAGTATTAAATTAGCAGTACTTGCTAGTTACAGTTAGCACTCCCTGGTGCTGGTCCTTCCTAAAGATATTTAATTTAGTGCTTCACCATTCATCACCATTCATGCGTAATCATGAAACACTTCTCTCCTTTTAATTGTCGCATCATGCATCGCATTAATTTTTGGAAAAACTCTAATATATTAAAAAGCTTGTTGCAGCAGTAATCATATTTTGATCATGGGTATGAAAATTAATTAATTCTACTTTGTATGTGATAGGGATTTCGGTATGTGGCATCTGGACCCATGGTAAGGTCATCATACAAGGCAGGTGAATTCTATATTAAATCCGTGATTGACTCAGATCGGGCTGCATCTTCCTAAAAGCTGAATACCTGTTGATCCATTTTTTTTCTTTCATTTTTGTTATTTACTCTACTCATGTGCATTATGTATAAGAGGTACATGTTTACTTCATTCTGCTGATACCCATACCATGTGTAATCTATCATTAAAATGGTATTAAACGGGCTCATAAATCATTTGGAAAATGCGAATCTTAAAGGTTAATCTGTGTTCTCATCTACCTGACCTCATTTTTCTCTCTTTAATCCTTGCAGTTTATACTCATTATTGTATCTATGAAAAGTAATTAGTTTGAAAGCTATTATTTGAGAAATCATGTGAAACTGTTGCTTTTGAAGTTGCTAAATTAAGTGTTTATTTTACATGTGCTACTGAATTTGTGTTTATTTGTTACTAACTGACAATCTAACTCTACTCACTGACCTAAGTGAAGTTGGGACTACTATTATTATGGTGACAAACTTGTCCCGAAACCATGTTTAGTGTTATAGTTACAATCATTATATGATAGCCTTGTAGAGCTGTGAGGTATTCCTTTTTGGGTTGGGACTTATGACAGGCTGGTTAGTGTCTGTCTCACAAACCCTGTGGGGGATGGAGATGCTGAAACTCTTGAAAGTTTGATTACACTAATGATTCTTTTTTGGCTATGATGCATTGCAAGCATATAATATTTGATAAAAGCATGATTTAAAATGAGTGGTGTTTGCAGAGCAGTTCAAAAGTATTTTGAAAGGTTAATCGATTTAAAATGGGTGTTTGCATAGCAATTTAAAATCAGGGTAACTTTTCATAATTGACAATTCAAAAGGTATGCATACTTTTTCACATTGTTTTAATTTCCTTTGCTTTACACTTTTACTTTCTTTAGCATGATATTGACAGCAACCATGGCCAGCATGTTTAACTTTTGAATCTTCTTTTACCATTTCTTGCATAAACTATCAGAACTCCCTTTTGAATTATTTTTCCATTTCTTGCATAAAATTTAAGAATTCTCTTTTGAATTCATCTTTTGTAAAATATCATAATCAGAATGATTGCAACGGGAATAAAATTAAAACACATATTATTCATCATCTCCCTTCGTAGTACCGTATAATGACTTGTATTGTACACCACTATTTTTGAGGCAGCCTCGTATAATGACTTGTATTGTACACCACTATTTTTGAGGCAGCCTCAACAACAATAGAAGGAATAAAGGAATAAGGCGTTAGCGTTTGATCATAAACCAATAGAAACCTTAAATAAACTGATCTCTAATAAATCACCACTAACTAAAGAGCGCACAGGTCATCGAAAAATATTATCCGATCAAGAACTCTCTATTACTAGTCAATGACCAACAATGATTTTCACCATCACCTAGATTGGTAGGCTTGATGCTAGTGATAATTACAGTGCAATCATGGGAGGAACTCGAGCTTGTTCCAATTCTAGTTACCTGCAGAAACATAAGAAGAAACAAAGGAATATGTTTCACCTGCTGAGATACAAGATGTCACTCTATCTTTAAGAAGGTTGTGACCATGTGCCCAAGGGTCTTGCTAGAATCTAAAGGTGTGATAGTTATTAATAAAATGACTTTTACTTGATACTGATGAGACTCATATTCCACAATAAGGTTAGTTTAAATATAGTATTTGAGGATATAGATGGTGGAAAAAAGAGAGGAGCTAGTGTTATTTAAACTCTCCTCCCTCCAAGTAAAATATGAATCGAACCTTTTATCAAATCACACTAGTTTTTGTTGATTAAATTTATAATTTTTTAATGTTATCAATTTTTTTTTACTCAAAATGTTATCTAATGTTTTTTCTTTACTCTAGGCAAAAGATTACTCAATTTTTTTTTATAAAAAAATAAACTTAATTTAATACATTATCAACTTAATTAGATTGATTATAAACAAACGTAAGATTGTACTATTGTATATCTTCTTGAATATCAAGATCAAATCAAAGCTATTTAAAGGTCCAACATAATCTTGGTTCATGCTCACTCCAACATCCTGCTAGTTCTCTTCCTAATCTATAGCCGTTAACACTTTCCGTTTTTCTTCAACAAAAATTTCAAAACCAAGTTTCCCAATCAACCATGCAATATCCAAAGCAACCTTCTTTAAATCACCACCAAACCATTGCCATCTAAAATTAAACTCTCTTCATAGCTTCAACCAAATGGGTTGCTGTATCAGCAGTACCCCAAAAGATGACCAAAATACCCTCAAAAACCAAGAAAATGCCATGCAAGAAGCCAAATGCAGAGTTCCACAACCACCACAGCCACAATCAAAATCACCACCACTTCCTGTTCCTGTTGAAGAAGAGTCTGTGAAAGAAGTTCTGTCTGAAACTGAAACACCCATTTCAAAACCCCAAAAAGTTTCAACTTTGACACAAGAAACAAAGACCCAAATGCACAATATGGAGATTACTGAAGAACCCATCATGAACAAAGCATTTGAAAAACCCTCTGAAGTTTCTCTCCTTTCAGAAACATGCAGTGTCGGCGAGAGTTTCTCCACCACTACCACTACCACCACCGTGCCGGAATCGAGAGAAGATGAAGTTACAAGCAAGCGAAGAATCAGAGAAGGAACTCGAAATCGGAATCGAAATCAACATCGAAATCACTCTGATGTATCAAGGAAACATTCTTACACAGTTGAGAGGAACAGAATCGGAGGGAGAGAACGATGCCGGCCCAAATCACCGGCGAGGGTACCCGAGTTTCCACCGGAGAAGAAGATTTTAGTGAGTGCAGGATCGGTTCGCCGGAGGGAGTTTCCCGAAAAAGTCCGCCGTGATCCCGGCGAAAGTGTCCGCCGGAGATCGAGGTCGCCGTCGTGTCACAGGACGGTTGGCAGCAGTCATAATCGGAGTGAGCTCAGGCAGACAGATAGAGCCGGACGGAAGTTACTGTCGCCGGGTAAGTGTGAAACTGAGGATACACACGACGGCGTTTTAATGGAGGAGTCAATTATGAATCCGCATGTTTCTTTGGAGTGTTTTATTTTTCTGTAAACTTCGAAAGCTCGTTTAAGCGATTTTCAAGGGTTTGTTTTGTAGAAGCGATTTTCAAGGGCTTGTTTTGTAGAAGCGATTTTCACATTAACATTTTTTGTTTGTTTTGTCAAATTTGTTGTCAAACCAAACATGGACAAAATTGAGTTTGTTTGAGTGTTCGTTTGTGTTGTGATTTGAGTGTTTTTCTCATGAAATTGCTTGTGTATATTATTAATAATGTACATTGTGGAAAGTGTTGATTTTTCTTTTTCTTTTTTTTTTTTTTAAATTTAAGTGCTTGCTTGTGCTGTTGTTTAGTTATAAGTGTGTGTTTGTTTCAAAGATTGTGATGTTATTATTTATTATCATAAATGTGAGATTAAGATGGCAACATTTCTGTGTTTGTTTCATGTTTTAAATTATTTTCTATTCTTAGAAATATAATTTACATATGATTTCTAGCCTTGTTATAGCTATGCTAAAAGAGTGAGAATCTAACATTGTAGAATTAAATGCAACTTTCTATAATTTTTCACTACCAAACACATAAGGAAATATTTTAAAAAACTAATGTACATTTTTCAGCTTCTTAAAATCAAGAGAGGATTCATTGATTTTATAGAGGGAATTGCACTCTAACTTCTTCACTATATCTCTCTAATAGCTCTTAAAATCACATCAAAATATACATTGGGATGTGCTTTAGGCCTTGCAAAAGCTAAATCAAACACATGCTAAGAGGTCTTTTAAGGGTTGGTAAATTTTTTGTTTTAAAAATTATATTAATTTTTTTTAGTCAATTTGCATTAAATTCTTTTCAATTTTATTTTAAAAATAGTATTTACTTAAATTTCAAAGTTACTACAAAAGTTGGTTTTTGTTTTTTACACTATCACATTACCAACATATGATTGGTGACCAATAATTCCCCACAACATGTGAGAGCATCTTCCCAAGACCATATCATCATTCTTTATGACTATCACTATAATCATCATTTCAACAACTCCATACCATTATCATTTCAAATTATAATTATATTCCATTTTTCATTTTACAATGAGTAATGAGTAATTCATTCGAAATAAAAAATATTCCATTTTTCATTTTACAATGAGTAATGAGAAATTCATTTGAAATAAAAAATATTTTAAAATAAAACTCATTTCAAATTACAATTAATTTTTTTTCATACGTAATTCAACCACCATCACAATTCTAACAAACCTATAATACAATTATTGTTTTCGACCATTATCGTAAATATTTAGTTACAAATCTAATAACCTATGATAATATGTTAGAATTTTTTATCCAAATAACTCAATTTTTCAAAAAGAATCCTAAAATAACTCATCTTTCAAAATTATTCTCAAAGTATCCCAGTTAGGGTTTGCGATTACACAAGGGTGTCAGATGGATTGACGATACCTTGTTAAGGCTATAAGGGAGTCGCTAATTGGATTGTAGACTCCTCATGTAGTCTTCAATCTAATTGGCGACTTGGTGTTAAACTTACAAGGCTGTCGCCAATTCATCTGGAGACCCCTTGTATTTTAATTTTTTTTCTATAAATAGAGGTGTTCTGATCATTTACTTCCACATTTCCTCTGATATCTTTGTTCTGCTAATAACATGTATCGTCGACCGTGGGGAAAAGTCGTCTATTCGAGAGAGAGAAGCCTCTGATGGACATGTTGTTTTGAAACATACAAAGTTTCAATCAACTTAAGAGGGAGCTGAATCGGTGGTTGGAAGGAGACATTGGTGAAGGGGAAAAGATATGTAGTATCGAGAGACTTGATCGGCTGCGTGGATGGGTTCGTGTTAAGACAGACAAAGATGCAAGGGAAGTCATGTTTGGACCGAATGAAATTAGTTTGATTGTTGTAATCAGTTAGGAATGTCGTAATCACATAGTTAGTGTTTTATATTTTATGAAATTAGTATGTGTTGTGTGTTGTTAGTCTTGTTTGTTGTTAAGACCGTTGTAACAATAACTCATCAATATATGAGAATATTTGGTTACAACAAATGAAACGATAAGCTAAATCATGATGCAGATGTGCCTCCGACATTGGGACATTTTTTTCGGCTGTGTCCGGGCTGACGACATATACTGCACAATCTTATCATTTTATCAGCCATATCTGTAACACCCCATTTCTACCCAAACGAATGATTAAGAAAATCAGAGTGCATCATTTAGAGATGTCACATTTTCAACTTAAATTACAAACATACAACTGCTAAAATCATCTATTAACATACATAGCACAAATTCGGATGAACCGACAACAATTCTCAGCTTAGTATTTTAATTGTAAGACAACCTGTTATTTTGCAGCGGAATGTAATAAACTTTCAAGCAACTCATAGTCACCCAAAACAAGGCAAAGAATGTTTTACATCTGAACTTCATTAAAATTCAGCAAGTAATAATCTTGCATAACTTCACGAAAATAACTAGTTTCGACAATAAAATCAACAACGAGGAAATCAACTAAAGGCAATAGAATTAATTGTTCATCCCCCCAAGAGTGCTACGTATCAGAGCGACCGACGACACCTTAACCGGAAAACGACACTTTATTCCGAGTTACCTGCAAATTACCACCAACGGAGGTAACATACAACGTAAAGGGTAAGATATCAACAATATAACATAAGGCATGATAAAAATCATGTCAGAAATCATATCACAGCATGATAATCTTTGCAAATTTATAAACATTATTTACAATAAACTGCAAGCAAATCCATATCTCAGATATACAACGATGATTACGAAAATTCAGCAACAATCATAACTTACAATCAACACAACGATGCGACATCATGCGACTCAACTATGCACATGCATGTGGTACCATTTCGGAGTAAAACTCCATAACCAATTCATTTGCCATTACAGGCCGCCAATACAGGCACAACCAACGTCAATACAGGCACAACCAAACGCCAATACAGACCAACCAAAATGTTATGCCATGAAATGCATCTATTATGGACTACAACACAACCATAACAACCATACAATAGGGCTTTTAGCCTACAACCAGATTGTCCATAACAGAGCATCATAATTTCATACAACTCATGAAATCATCATTTTCCACCTGTTCATATACGAGAACAATAACAACATACTTTCGACAATTAAGAATTCAGCACCTTATCGTAAGGACAACATTACAACTTTTACTCACTAAATTAATTATGGTTTCTGATCTGACCTGATCAGGAGGGGATCACGATATGGCCGCGTGCTACTGGATGGCTACCTGTTCACCGGGGTGAGAAAGAGGAGGGGGTGTACCTGCAAGACACTCCGATGCCAAAGTAAGAAACCGGGAAGAGTGGAAGCAATAGTACAGAAAAGGGGCAAGAAAAGTTACCTGACCCTCTTGAGGAAGAGGGTATTTATAGAGAGACCCCAGCGTTGGGCCAACGGTCATTTGAGGTGGGCTGGATGACCAGGCCCAACCCTAATGACTGCTAGGGCTTACGTGGCGTAGTGAAGACCAGGACGTGGTCTTCGCCCTAGTCCAACCGCTCCTAGATCTCCGGAAAGTGGGTTTGACCTGCTCTTTCGGAGGTGGGCAGTTGGCCGGTGACGCGTCCCCGCGGAGGGGAGCACGTGAAGAACGTGCGCCGAGCACATTATTCTACCTGCGGAGGGGAGCCCGGGAGGTTCCCCGGAGCGCGTTGTTCTCCCCGCGGAGGGGAGGAGCCAAGGGCCGCGCTTTGGTGAGCCGGGGATGGTTTTGCCCGTCCGGTGTGGTAGACGACAAAAGGTTGTGGAGACGTCGCCGGTGTTCGGCGGCTTGCCCTACTCGTCTCGAGGGGCGCACGTGCCTGGCGTGCCCGATTCGCTTGTTGGGCCGTACGCGGTATTGGGCCTGCCGGGGTTGGGCCCATACCGGAACAGGAGCCCCCCAAGTCGAAGCTCTGGGGAGAGAGCGAGGACTTAAGGTCGTCGCATCGGACACTCGTACGAAGATCTTCGGTCGTCGGCAGAGCGGGGGGGGGAGGCAGGTGAAGGGACGCGACTGTCAGGTTGCCGCCACGTGTCTTGCGTTAAGCGGTCGTAGGGGCGGTTACCCTATGTCATTAATGAGCCTAGGGTCGCTTCGAGTCCCGCGCCGGGTTATAAATATGGAGGTCCCCGCTCATTCTGTTACTTTTCTCTCTGCTAAGCTTTATCGTTTCTGCTCGTCCACCGCTTACCGCCGATCGCCGCCGTACCGTTTGATCTTTTCTTCCGTCCGCCGCCGTTACAAGTGAGTTCCTCTTTTCCCTCCCTTTTTATTTCCGTCGTTTAATTGGAACGTGTGGTCGGGGCGTGATGAACGCCCCGAGGAGGGACGCGAGTTCCGCCGTGTCTGGCGAATTTTCTGATGAGTGTCCCGGGGAGGGTAGGCTGGTTCCGATGAATGCCCCGAGGACGGGAGCTTTTTCTGATGAATGCCCCGAGGACGGGGGCTTTCTCCGATGAATGCCCCGGGGAGAAGTACCTTCTCCGACGGCTGTCCCGAGAGGGGATGAGGGGTCGGCCTTCGACCCACCGAGGAGGGTAGACGGGGAGCGAGTGTTTGCTCGTCGCTTCCCGGCTTTTGTCGCCCTTTCACTTGACTTGCGGTGGAAGGGTGGATTTGATCCTGGCTATCAAATTCACCGTTGTCCTCTGCTTTCAGGTGTAGATGTCGGCTCTGGTGCCGGGTGTTGCACCCTAAAATTTGACCAACCGATTCTCCTATCTGACTCGTGGTTTGAATTCATATTCGCAAATCAGACGTATGATTTTTTTTGTGCAGACAGAGGATATCAGGGTTACAGCTTGATTTTCGTCTATCAGATATGGCAGATCCAGTCCAGATCACCAGGGTTTTACTTTCGGGAAATTGCGCGCTCCTCAGTGATTTTCAGCTTGCACAGTAATTTTGAGGGATATTCTGATGCCGGGGATAATGGTCGAAGACAATGAACCTGAGATTCCGGAGTATGACGATGAGCGT